CTGACAGTATAAATAAATAAATAAATCTTTTTTTTTTTTTTTTTTTTTTTTTTTAAAGAAGAGCTTTATTCATTTTAGGTGATTCAGTTCCTGTGTGCAAAGATACCAAAAGAGCAGTGTGTACCAGAGTCTCAGCACATTATGCCTTAACATAGTTCAGCTTTCAGTACATGATTGTTATTGTGTTTCCAGTGATGGAGCACAAAAAGGTCTTTTCTGTATTTGAAGAGGGTGTAGAGGATAATCGTATGTTTGCAACATTTTACCATTTGCAGATACTAGCATCTCATAAACTCTTGACCTATGAGTTTCTTTCTTATTTTCTACTCAGCAGTCCTAGGATCAAAATTCTCCTTTTATAATTTCCTAATTATCACTGTTGGTGATTTTGCTTTTAAAAGTGTTTTTAACATGTAATTTGTTATCTATATGGTGACATCTCTGGCTACTTCAATTCTCTCCTTGTAGAATTTTAGAATTTCCTCTCACTCTTCTAATCTATTTACAACTCAGATAAGCTGTACCAGATGTGCAATTGCTGTACTGTCTGCTATTTCTTTTTTAGGACTTGTGTGCTGCTTCTTACATCATCATCTAAAGAACAAAAGGAATATTCTCACAGGGAATAGGGTGGGCTTTCAAAACCTACATTTTGTATCATTCAAAATTTGTAATTCTAGATGCAATTCTGTGGCAAGTACTTCTGGCTTGTAGGAGCTGGAGAGGTATCTCATGAAACAAATCCTATTTAGCATGGGGGTAGATTATTTTCATTATCCTATTTCCCTTTGTTCCTTTGAACCTTTCCGCTTTGCTTTTTGCCCACTTTTGTTACCTACCTTGTACTCCCTTCCTCTTTTAAAAAATTCTTCTGGCTTGCTTCAACAAGGAAAAGACCCCTGTAATGCCAACTCATTACCTTGCTCGTGTACACCATGACTATAGCAGCCAGCACTAGCCGAACAGCAAAGATGTGCTGCAGTTTTGCATGCAAGTCCTCACTTAATGTGGTGGACAGGTTCCTGGAAACTGCAACTCTAAGTGAATCAATGAATCAAAAATTAATTTGAACAGAGGCTGATTCATATAAACAAGAATTTCAGTTCCTAAGGCACAGTTCTGTAATATCACAAAAACATCACCTAAGTTCTCAGTAAAGACCCACAGCAGGTCCAATATGAAACAATCATTTGTATCCTTCATCCCTTCCTGTCTTCTTCCCCTCCTTTCTCTATCTCTCCCTTCTTTCCTTCTTTCCTTCGTTTGCTAACTGCTTATTCCAGTTCAGGGTCATGGGTGCCCAAAGGCAGCTCCCATAGCTCGGGGAAAAGCGAGGCCTCACTCTGGACAGGCCGCCCTTCCATCTCAGGGTACATCACACTCACTGCAACTGGGGCAATGGAGACACACCCACAAAACTCGTGTGTACCTCTTTGGGAGGCGAGAGGAAGTGGGTCCTCAGAGAAAACCCATTAGGACAAGGGGAGAAGGTGCAACTCCTCACACACAGTGGTCCCAACCCAAATCCTGGTTGTTTCCTCAGCAACATCATAACAAAATGATGTTCAGTGAAGTGATGTTGTTTGAAAAGCTGCAGCCTTTTATTGCTCATCTTTAACAAATGCTTGCCATGATTACACTTGGTTCACTATGGTAGTAGAAGATGCGATCATTTATCATTGCATCACGCCTTATTAAATTAATGTATTCATTGATATTCCATTATTCATAGACTGCATTTATTCAACCTATATATTGAGCACCTGTTGTGTGCAAGCAGTGAGCCTGAATATCGTGGTGGGGGGGTGGTGCAGAGATGACTCAAATATCCTTGTCCTCAGGTAGTTTACAGGTTAAGTAAGGAATCATCTGTGCACACCTCTGCAGACATGACAACAATTTGAAGTAGAACCTGAACTTCTTCAAGTACTTTCCAAACCCTAGGCACTGAAATGGTATCAAAGACAAAGGGAGTTCAATAAACATCAGTGGAGTGGCTGAATAAATGTTTGAATATACTGATACTAGAAGAGGAATACAATAAAGTCTTTGTAAATTTAGAGAAGAGCTGAAAGGACCGATAGCAGTTTCCTTGAGAAGATGGCATTTGAGCAGAAGGTGAGGGTAGATGCCCAGAGGGTAAAGGGAGGCTACTGCATGGGTGAGTGGAATAGTATGAGGAAGTGTGTGGAGGTGGGGGAAGCTGATGTGTAAAATGGACAGAGGTTAATGTATGGGAGCAGAAGCAATGCAGGTAAAAAATAGAGCCCCAAGTCATAAGGGAAAGACTATTCACTCAGCAGAGAGTTCATTTAACTGTAAAAGGGAATTTTCATAGTTATATAAAGAGCAGTAACAAAGTTTTATAGATAATTCAAGATGAAAATCTCAGTTGGATTAGGGTGCTACCAGGGATGTTTCAGTATTGGAAATATTTAATATGTTCATTACATTTTTCAAACTTTCAGTAGAACTCAAAAAAAAAAAAAAACCCAGTGAAATAAACAAGGCAAAACTCTAATACTGGGTAAAGATTGTTATTCTCAACATCAAACAAGTTCTCCATATTCTGAAAAAACATTTTCGTCCCATTATTCTTTTGCCTGGCCTGTTTGTCCAGTTTCATGACAAAGTGATTTGGCAGGGTCTTACCTAAAATAAACCATAGTGGGGAAGTAGAAGAGAAATATTTGGTTGGACATGATGCAGAGAATTTTCTGGCCTTTGGGTCTAATAAACCTGGTTTCCAATCTTGGTTGACCTTATTAACTGTATGATCTTAGACAAGTCAGCTCATTTTCCTTCTTTTTTTAATTTTTAATATATAAATGTGACTGTTTTCAGAAAGCAAAGAAATCTCCTTGCTTATGTCTATTTTTACAGAATGGAATTTTTGTAAATCATATCTTTTTTTATTCCTTGGTTTCTATCAATAAGTGATGGAATGAGATCTATCCCAGGGTTGTGTGAAGATTTACAGCAAAAAAAAGTGCAGGTAATAGGAATTATTTTTCTTCTAATACTGTCCTGACTTCTTGTGAGTTCTAAGTGTTTGTGATTTCATCTACCTGGCTGTGAAAGGATGATGAGAGATTTTACAAGTCCCTTAGTTTGGGGGAAGCAGTGCAATATCATGACTGAGCGCACACACCACACCAACACTAGGATGGGGGATTTTCTGTCTGGTTTATTGAGGCATCCCATATACTTTGAAGAGTGTCTGGCATATAGTAAGTACACAATAAACATGGAATGAATATTTGGGTTAATATCTTGATTCTGCTATGGACTTGGTTTGGACTTTGTACAGACTTAGGTAGAAGAAGGTAAAGCAACTTATCCACTGTCAAATAGCCTCAGTTTCTTTATCTGTAAAATGGAGGTAATAATAATAAGGGGATATGCTAGCATGATTTATCATTTTTTAAATGAGAGAGCATCTTTCTTCCAATAATTTGAGAAACAGGAATTTTTGCTACTGTAGCACTCCATCAGAACACCCATTTTATGGAATTTACTTAATCCTACTTACTACAGAAATTTAGGATTTTTTTCTTTGAATAATTATATTATGGGATTTAAATAGTTAATTGTGTAATGCTATGTTTAGTGTATTGAGTATGGAATAATTCATTTCCTGGTGGTTCTAGTGACTCATATGAAGAAACACATAATTAATATGTTCTAATATCCTGACAATACATCAATTATATTAGTTACATGACAAAACAACCCTGGGAGAGAATGTTAGGTGTTTGCTTCCTCCACAATCTGTATGATAGGTTTAGATAGCACAACTGATGTCTCCATAAACCTGAAGATGGTGGTGGTAAATGCCAAGTCATTCTAGAAGATGAGTGCTGGTAAGCTCTATGCCAGCACAATATCTAAGAGAGATAATAGAAACTGCTCAAGTACCCTAACTTTTCCCAGAATGTGTAGATAAGCTTAAGCTCCTTGAGCATACACTGAGCAATTTATGGAATGGTGAATGATGAATCTTAGTGTCTGCCCTAGGAAAACCAGCATTATTGAAGGGAAATGTATCAATTGTACAAATCATATAGTAATAATATAATTTTATATATAATACAGTGTTTTTAATACAAATAAGATAGTAGTACTATAATACTCCAATACCATATTACTTTTGAAGCTAAAATTTTGAATCTAAAAGATGTTCTCAAAGTATGATCAAGAGCTCAGTGGGTGGAGAAATATTCAATGATCAAAAACTCTGATAAAAGGCTTTTTTTTTTTTTTTTTTTGCCTTAAACACAGAAATGTTTCTTTTGACAAGCCAGGAAGATCAGGATTGGGTGTCAGCCAGTTGGGTTTCTGGGAAGATCTCTCTTTGGGGATTGTAGATAGCCACCTTGAGAAAAGACTCTTGATGACAAATTTTGAAAGGCTTAGAGGCTCTAGAGAAGAGAAAGAAGGTAGAAAATAAGAGAAACTATAGAAACTATCATAATATCAGTTAAACAGAAACAACTGAAACAACCAAGGAGTTTGTCAGAGTGTAAGCAGATGAAGTGAAATAGTATGAGATCAATTCAAAGAGAGGAGGGAGTTGACTTACAGAGGGCTTGCGGATCAGACTAAAGACACTGATGTGTTTAGTAGTGAACACGAAGCATAAAAAACGGATGTGGTAAAAATGTGCGTTTAGAAACTGATTCTGTATGGGAGGTTGGAGAACAATCAGGAGTGTTGTAGGGGTCCTGGCTACAATAAAATGGTGTTTTGACAATGGGAGCAAAAAAGGAGACATATCATGGAGGTTTTACAAGACATATGTCCTGGCAACTGATTTGGATGTTTGGAGCAAGAATTGTGAGAATTCTGTGATAATTCCAAGATATCAAGGCTGAATCATAGAGGAAGAAAGGTTGCACTACTATTAAATATAATGGTAGCAGCAGGTTTGCTATAGGTAGAATGAAAAGTCTGACCTTGCTTATTGTGTGATGGCAGACTGTAGATACAAGACACAAAGGTTTATTTCTTGGTTACACTCAACATCCAAAACAGACTGGTGGGATCATTCTTCTCCACGAAGTCACTCAGGGACCCAGCATGATGGGGAGCTCCTCAGTGGGATCTGCTGCAGTAGAGGAAAGAGAGAGGCAAAATCTTACACTGACGTTGTTTACTGAATCAGCTTAGAAGTGACATCATTTCTACTAATATTTTATTGTCTAGAATTAGAAATATAGCCCCACTTGAATGTGAAGGGACTGAGGACTATACTTTCTTGTATGCCCAGGAAGGAGAGGCTATTTATGAGTACTAATCCCCTCTATTACAGATGTGCTGAGTGAGATGAACCTTTCCACAGCTGTGGGTAGTGTGTATGTGAAAGGGAGCACAATGAATAGGAAAAAATGAATCCTTTCTCCAACTTTAAATCAAAAGTCCGATCTTGCATTCACCCAAAGGACCTTCGAACTCACAGACTTTTCTAATCTTAACCAAAAAGACATTCTCTAATTTAGGCATAATATTGATAGATACTACTCTTAAGCTTTCAGAGAAGTAAGAGGTTCTTTGCATAGTGTCCTCTCAGAATGTTCAAGAGACTTTCTAGAAGTTTTAAATATGGTTAAATAAATATTTTGTTTTAACTCTGTCACAACACAGAAAATAGAGGAATCATTTGCACTTCTAAATTGTCATTAAAATCTCCTATGTATGAAGTATGTAAGTATTGGAAGTTGGGATAAATTTGTCACCAAACTTAATGTGGTATCTCCAAATATATCACTGAAATTATGCTCATAATTATTTTCATCTAGTGATTATGAGAAACCATGGAAAGTTTTGGGTGAACTTAAAGCATCCCCAACATTAGTAACTCAAGAGCTCTGGTGGCAACATCCAAGGAAGTGGATGTTATTCTCAGGTGTGTTTAAACACAACATCCTCTCTGCACCCCATGGATCAAGGAGTCATGTCAACTTTCAAATCTTGTTATTTTAGAAATATATTTCATAAGACTATACATGCTATGGATATTGATTCCTCTGCACAAAGTTAGTTAGGAATCTTCTGTAAAGGCCTCACTATTCTAGAGGCCACTAAAATCATTTGTGTATGATTCATGGGAGGAGGTAAAAATACTAACATAGCAATTTGGAAGAAGTCAATTTCAACGCTCATCAAGGGTTACACTTTGTATTTTGAGGAGTGCACGACTTCAGTGGAGGAAGAAAATTACATATGGTAGAAATAGCTAGAGAATTAGAAGTGGGGCCTGAAAATGTGACTGAATTTCTGTCGCCTCATGATAAAACTTGAATGGATAAAGAGTTGCTTCTTACATATTAGCAAAAAAAGTGGTTTCTTGAGATGGAATCTATTCCTGGAGAAGTTATGAACTTTGTTGAAGAAACCACAAAGGATTTAAAATATTAGATAATCTTAATTGATAAAGCAATGGCAGAATTTGAGAGAGGATTGACTCCACTTTATAAAGACTTCTACTGATAGTTAAATGATATCAAACAACATTTTTCATGAGGAAAAAGTAAATAGATGTGGCAAACTTCACTGTTGTCTAATTTTAAGAAATCACTATGGTCACCCCATAAGTCAGCAGCCATTGTTCTTCAATAAGCAGCCGTCAAAGCCAAGGCAAAAACCTCCATCGGCAAAAAGATTACTAGTTTTTGAAGGCTCAGGTCATGGTTAGCATTTATTAGCAATAAAGTATTTTTTAATAAGGTATGTTAATTTTTTTAGGCAATGTTATTGTACAGTTAATAACTATGGTATATACACAAGTATATACCATATATATACACACAAGTTTTATTTGCTTTGGGTACCAGCAATCATGTGACTCACTTTATTGCAGTATTTGCTTTATTGGGGTGGTCTGGATCTGAACCCAGAATATGTCTGATATGTGCCTGTTTACATAATTCTTATTTCATTCTTGGTAATTGAATGTTACTATGTACAAAATCCTTAATTATCATATACACTCATTGAAATTTCATTAACTTTTGAAAGTTAGACTGGAGAGTTGACAGAGATGTGATATGCCATTAAGTTTTATTTATAGTAGACTATTGTGGGAATATTTTAAAATAAGGAAGTTTAAGAGATTGCAGTTTAATTGTACCTTTTCAATTTAAAGTGTTGGACTCAAATCTACTCTAAAAGAAAGTTGAACATCATAAACAGAAATTTATATACTGATTTCTTTATTTCAATATGCAGTTCATCACAGAAAATCACTCTGTGTGTGTGTGTGTGTGTGTAACCTCTTACCTCTACACAGCTACATAAAAAACCAACTCTATAATTTGGTAATCTCGGGTACATGTCATAGGGGAAATTTTAATGTAAAAACAAGTCAATAAGTTAGATTTTCACCAAGAATTTCACCAAGATTTTCACCAAGAATAAGGTGCTCCTTTTTACTATTTTTTAAAAATACAAGTTGAGAGTCTTTAGAAATGGCATGATGTAGCATGATAGTAGTTTATAGGAGTTAATGTCATTTCCAAACCTTAACTGTAGGTGCCTCACTGTCAGGGAAATCAGACACCCAGTAAGGATTTGACTTCCTGCAAACATTTTATGTCTTGTCTAAGATTGCAGATACCTTCAAAAAATGCACATCACAGAAACAGAAGTTCAACAAAGAAATTACCAGATAGCATATAGTTCCCAAAGTCTGGGGTCTTTTAATCGAAGACATGATTAATGAGAATACAAGTTGTGTTCATAATATCCTGCATAAGAATATGACTATGGTTTGCTGAATGCCACTTCAGTAAAACAAAAAGCATCACACTTAATAAAGCTCACTAGAGATAACACACACAATGTTCACACAACCTCACCACGAACACAAGTTGCTTTTATATTTTTAAATAGCCTCTTAATATCTGGTAATACAACAAAGAACACAGCTTTTAAAAACATTTTGACTGATTCAGGTGCAGGATTTCATTTATGCTTTTAGAAATAGCATTCTGATATATTTCATATATCTAATGCAAAAGCAATTGCTTAATAGTGGTATTAACAACTGCTGGTTTTCTAATGTTCAGAATCATAATTTTTCTCTTTGCTGTATGTAATTCACCAACTTCCTAACTTCTCTTTAGTCCTTTGTTCTCAAACTCAGGCCATCAAAACACAGGAAGTGACTTTTTAAAATGTTTTAAAAATAAAATCTAGGGGAAAGGTATTTCATTTTTAAAGACACTGACTATTTATGATGGGATCACAATTGAATTTAAATTTAAAACAATTCATAATGTGACAATTCATATATTCTAGAACAAGAAGAGCAAGCACAGATTCATGTATTCACTCTAGGCATGAAAAATACATCATTGAGATATTCAGGAACTCACTAGAGTACTTATATGTAAAACAGTAAGCTGAGAGGTATGCTGACCTCTAGAAGGGAAAGTCGGTCAGGGATACTCTGTTTAAAACCTCCGCTGTGTTGTGCTTGCCATACATGTTGGGTCCCACGTTGGTAGGTGAGTGAATGGTACCAAAACTGTTGCTGAAATGAATTAAAAAGTTTGCCAAGCGTTGAGTGGCACATGTGGCCGTGTTGCACTTCTGTTTTTCCATCTGGTGACTGTAACACCAAACAAATATGAAAGGTTAGAGACTTAGGTTAGGGATTAAAGATAGCTATGTGACCCCAAGTAGCTCATATTGGAAAACTAAAGGAACAGTTTTTCAAAAGAGGCTCAATATTTTGGTATGCAAACATGCTGGGTGACTGATTTAGGTATTTTGGACAGATCCAAGACACAGTAGAATCAATTTTTGACTAGAAAATTAGAGTCATAAACCTTCCAGGATAGTCAATGTGGAATTTATCAACATTAATCTTTCTCTGGAAGTTCAGAATATGCTTCTAATAGTAATAATAATAGTGCTTTACATTCTTCTAAGTCTTGCTGATGAATCTATTTTTAAATATACAAAAAAGATGTAGAAGTAAAATTGTATGTAACCTGGATGGTATGGAATGCCATTCATCTCTCTATATACACACATGTATTTATATTCATTTCCCACATCTTCCCAGCAAGAATCAAGCAGTGTTAATTAATTTATGCTAAGTTCCCTGAGATCACTGAATCAGGAGTGTTAAGTGGTCTGAGCAGGAATCAAATTCTTCACCTGGTCAGGCACTGTGACTCTGTATGTGGGAGTTCTATCACTTTCAGCAAAATACACAAATACTACCATCTTCCTGCCACCAACTTCACTGCCATGCTTCAACACTTTTAATGAAAAAGCCAGGTAAAATGTTAAATCAAAAGACTTTCTATGTCAACAGGATTAATATCCACCACATTCTTTCAGTCAGCTGGACAAATTGCATGATAATATTATAAACCAGTCAGAAATGATAACCATGATTTAATAATTCATTTGAACTTTAACTTGTTTCTATTTACAGTTTATACCAAATCTCTATTGGTTGCAATATGCTCTCAAATGATATTGGAAATAGGTACAGAATAATATCATTGCTTCCTTTCAGCTGATTATAAGGAAAGGTAGGGAAATAATAACGGGGAAACTGAAGTGTAGAGGGAAAGCGATACAGATATGTGGCTATGTCCAGAAGCCAGCAGATATTCATAATTTGCGGTAAATGCAATGGATTTTATCTCAGTGTGTTTACTTTGTGTGGAGAGTACTTCATTATCTGCATTTCTGTACAAAGATTGCCTAAGGGAAAATATTGTAAAATCTCAGTGACACTTGTGGATTTTTTCTCTCAGATTTCCTCCCCAATACAGAAAATTTTTCTTACAGCATTAAGGGAAAGGGTACCTGTTGAGTGTAAGGTGTAAGTTTACATTGACAAACCAAATTCAGACAAAGGAAACCCACTTTGGAACTCAATCACAGGCCTTTCAATCTTATTCATGTCACTGGTTGAATCATTTCTCTTTGCATGTGTAATGAACATGGTCAATATGTTTTCTGAAAAATGATTTAATACTTTTAAGGTCTGAAACAGTAATTCATACACGGGACACCACATTCTAAATGATGATAAGCTTTTCCTGAAAAAGCAGTAGGGAGTGGAATTTGACTCAGACACTATAAACTAATAAATTTAAAGTGATAAATGCAATTATGGGTCAAAATAGGGATACTCAAATGGATATATGTCCCAGTGTGTTTGGCAAATGTCTGGCACATTGGGTGAAATATTCTATATGTGAAATGTCTACATGATAATTGGTGTTAAGAGTGTGATAGGCTTTTAAATGATTTTAATGGAAGTTAGAGTTACCTAGTGGGGTCATCATTCTGCTTAAAATAATTTAAGAGCTTGATGTTTGTTGGTTTCATAATTGTGAAACTACACTCCTAAATAACACTTTTTTGTAAGTAGTTTTGTCAGGACATACAAGGACATACAAGTTTCTATCCAAAAACAGTCATTAGTATGGAAACAGAGGGTTGACATGGTTGGTAAAAAGCTTCTCACTCGACTTCGAGGTGCTTTTCCTTGATGACTACCAAGAACTGTGCTGTTGGCTGGCCTGCCTGCCAGCTAGTGACCAACATTAGTTTAAAGCTGTTGACCATTTGCACACTTGGGGGCACAAGAAAATTCTTGACTCTAAGAGTTTAACAGCGATGACTCTAGACAAAGAAGAACTCTTAAATTGCCCCTCTTTAAAAGCATGCCAATTTCAGAGGCTTTGTAAAAAGTTTTCAAATGGGTTCTATCTCCTAACTCTTAACCTGCTATTCAGTTATCTGCTAGGCAGGTGTTTCCAACTGATTCTTGAAAGATAGGTGGGCAAACTTTAAGACTCAGTCATAAATATAAAATAACAGCTGTATTTTTGGTGTGACTTGTAAAGTCAATGATCTCTTTAGTCCCTTCTAGACATGTATAAAAGTTGAAAATATCACAAATGAGATGACTGAAGTTTATGAGAAAAGTGACACTGAATAATAAATCTACTCAGCTTCCTCTTTTTAAAGATGTTTAAAGTTTGAGATATTTTTCACTAAGACTTCTCAGCTTTTTATGAGAATTATAGAATATTACAGAGTGGAACAGATCAGAATGATCAATTTCTCTCTCCCTCACAAGAAAGACCAAACATACTGATTTCAGGAAACTTGTTAAAAAGCAGTTTGAGACATTTTCAAGTGAAACTGATATTTCTAATAATAAGAGATAGTTAGACCAGTGTTAAAATAATTTGATAATAATGTCATATACTATTCTATTTCTGATGAATTCCATAAATACTAATTTATTTTGGGGGTGAAGGTCCAGAGCAAATGTCTATTTTTAATGAAAGAAATAGGTAACTGCTAATTTTCTTGTCGTCATTCAATCTTTCTGTGAGTTTACTAGAAAAAAACTACATGCCAGTTTAAAAGTTATTTTTAGCCACAAAAACCAATTGAAAATTACCCTCAATTCTGAGAACAACCTCTAAACTAGATAAGCCCTGAAATGACAAAGGAAATCTTATGATGATTCTTGCCATTTATTATATGTAGGTGTTTTAAAAATCTTTACATATTGTGAGAGACTTCCTCCTTTACTGAAAACACCCAAAGGAAAAAAGATAAGATACTGATAATGAGAGAGCTATAATATGAACCAAAGCAAATTCTTTTCAAAAGTAAATTTATTTATTTTTTGTTTTTGTTTTTGTCTAAATAGCCATTTCAGTCCCTAAGTATAGGTGTATCAAAACTGATTTAGGCACCAACAAATTCTAATAGTATTCATGACATATGAATGAATTTGGATTTAAGGGTGTTAAATAAAAGGAGAATTCCATTTTAAAGGCTTTCCATTTGAAAGTTGCAATTACTGCTCACATTTTCACTTGACAGATTTTAGATTTACTTAAAATTCTCCCTGAAATGACACTTTCCAAAATAACCCTCCGTAGGAAATCCTGATGTGGAGGGTATCCACTGAAAATGTTTTCAGGTTTTAAATTACAGTTAGAGCAGCTCAGAAGTAATCTCAGCTCAGAAGAATATATTTTATCATGATTGTTTAATTAACACAACAGCTAACAATATAGAAAGGACTCCCCTAAGAGTAAATATGATTTAACTAAATCTTCTAAATTTAACTTCACAAAAATTTTCATTTCCCCCTGATTTTTTTTTTTTCTATTTCAACTTCCAGAAGGATATGTAAAAAGTTTGGGACAGTGCCAGAACCCTCCAAGGAAAAAGATCTCACCTGCCAGAAAAAATATGGCTTCATCAAATTTCTCAAGTCTGAGAATCAGGTTAATGTAGTAGAAATGACTATCTTTTTGGTTTTTCCTGTTTGGTGGTCTGGCTGTGACCCTCTTAAATTCCAACAGCTAATTTTTGACAGTACTGGAACTTTACATTCCTGTCTGCTAGAAGTTTCATGAGAGATATTCTTCAGCCACTGACACTATTCTTAGAAAACACAGAACACAAGGAATAGTTGAACAGCTTAAGGTATTGCTCTTAAGTCAGCAAGTATTTAATTCTAGTTTTCCCTCATTTTACACAGAAAAATTTTAAATTACTAACCTTTCCATGGGCATAGCTTTCAGATGATTTAATGCAATGTAAAGTACAATGAGAATGACCGACAGTTTCAGGATGCACATTGCTTCTCTAATTTCTTGAAAAGAATAATTCAGCACTGAAATGAAGACATTTCTTAGTTCTGATTTAGGGTATTTTAAACTAGAGTCTACTTAAAAATATTTCTTAGAAACATAATCTCCAAGGATCATAATTTTATTGATAGAGTCCCTTAATCCTATTCCAGCAATTTTCAAATATTTTCAAAATGTTCTTTCCTGTTTCCCTCCTCTACTCTTGCCCTATATTATCTCCCTAGCCCTTCTTTAAAATAAGTCATATGTTTAATGCAAATTTTTAACTTCCCTAAATAAATAATACTTTTTCAGAAAAAAGGAAATTCTTTACCTTTTAGTGTTTCAGAGTCAGCAGTATCAGAAAATGCCTGTGACAGCAACAAAACTTCTTGAAAAATACCAAGCTTGCATGCACTGGAGCATTTACTTCTCCACTTGCTACTCAGAAGTCCAGCTCTTATACACCGTTCACACCTTTCCCAGTTCTGACATCAGCCCAGCGAGGCTCTGGCATTCATTTCCATCCCTCTAGATAGAAAGTGCCTGCAGATGGCAGAGGCAGATGGGTCATCATTACATTCACACATAAGCAAATATTAATGAAGCTGGTACAGATTCTCAGTGCAGTTAGTTGTATGTCACACAACAAAGGTTGAACTTGTCATCTTTGGAAAACGCCAGGGTGGATTTTCAAGGATTAAGTAATAGGCTCTCTGAAAGAATTGATAAAAAGAAATGATTAAGTTTATCAACAAGTATGTTTCTATGCAAAGACTGAAGACAGGGATACCAAGATGTTGAGTTTAATTTAAAGGACTCCACTGGCTTAATCCCCAAACATTCAGGAGTAAATGGACATGTAAGAGCAAGGTGTATAAAAAAGGACATTTAAGAGAATCGAAACACATTTTTAATGAGGTGGAGAAGGGAGTATTAAAAGCATAGAAACAGTAATTTTCTTTTCTTTCTTTTTTATTAATTTATTTTCTTACATTGTTGTTGATTTTTGTACCATACTTGATTTCTCCTCTCAGGTGTAGTCCCCATAATTCTCCAACCGCCATGGTACCCGTGAACCATCACCATGGTCCCTTGTGCTCTTCCATCACCTATTTTGACCCCTTTCTGTCTCCCTCCCCTGCTGTATGCATCATATCTATGGTTTACCTGCAAGTTTTGTCTTTTCTCCTGATCCTTTGTTTGGTTTCCATGTATTCCCCCTATAAGTGAGACGATCTGATATTTTTCTTTTTCCTTCTGACTCCTTTTGCTTAGCATCATCCCTTCCAGCTCCATCCATATTACTAAAAATGGCATGAGTTTATCTTTTTTGATCACTGAGTAATATTCTATTGTGTGTATATACCACAGCTTCTTGATCCATTCTTTTTTGGGGCATTTAGGTTGTTTCCACATCTTAGTTATTGTAAATAGTGCTGCAATAAACACAGGAACTTAAAAGAAATAGTAATTTTCTTTTTTTTAAATCTCTCTCTCTTTTTTTATAAAAAGATTTATTTATTTATTTATACAAGTACTGGGTACAGTCAGAAGTGTGGGAGGGTGAGAGAATTCACCAGAGCCAGAGCGGGGAGCAGAGCAGGCAGAAGGACCGAAGTACACTGCTGAGGGGAGCAGTGGGCCGCGGGAGAGGTCTGCGTGCCACGTGGGACCCTCCTCCAGTGGCCGGGGTGCAGCCGGGGATCGAACCAGCGTTGCAGAGGCTGCGAGCAGCTTTGCAACCCAGCGCTCAACTGCTGCGTCATCGGGGAGGCCCGAAACAGTAATTTTCAATCCACAAATTAATTTGTCTGTCTATAGAGAGACATGGTACATAACTACATTACTATGTACTCTAACATGTTTTCACTGACATTTCCTCTTATTATATAGAAAAATCAATGTATTTTCTATTGCAATAACACTGGTTTACAACACTGTATATGATTTAGAGGCTCACATCTTGATGTATGTCACCACACCCACCACCAAAACACCTATAGTTCTTCTGTACCATACACTTTTGGGTCTCCACACTTTGTTTTCACTCCAACCCAAGAAACATCACAATTATTTTGAAGGAACAAATTTGATTTTCTCAAAGTGTTTTTTTCCTTGTATTTCTAAGTTGTATTTAAGTTAATCTTCTAAGTTGTGACAAATTATTATCATATAAAGCAACAAAAAAATCCAACAGTCAGTGAAATGTGCTTGTCAGTTTAATATAAAAAGTGGGGAGTTCTCAAAGTTCAAAAAACTTAAGTTTCCTTACTTCATATTCTTCTTCAAAGCTGAGGGATACAGTTTGAGGATGTTTAGTAGTTCTAATTATTCCATGATTGTGTGATACAGAGGCCCAGAGATGCCAAATAACTTGCCTACAGTCACACATCTAGTCCGCGTTGGTATCTGGACCACAGTTCATTTTAGACCCAAATGCCTGCTTTTACGGTATATAGTTACTCTGTTTTCATAACATTTTTTTTTCTATGAGATGTTAAAGGTGCTAAATATAATATTCAAAAATTGATTCTCTCTCATCCCTGGGGAAATTAAATGTTATAAGGAAATGTTTTACCTGAGTAAAGAAAAGGAGGGCCTGACATTTTTGGTCCCACTTGATGGTGATGAAACTGAGATTCAGAGAGCATAAGTAATTACTTCTCTGACACTTTCATCTCTCTTCTCTACCACCCTCCTAAAATATTTTAATGAACATTTGTAATGTATCAATATTACCTGTATACTTTTATGTACTTAAATTTTTTATGGAAATTTTCAAATGTATATAGAATTGCAAGTGATCAGCAGATCTCTGTCATATTTCCTCTGTATAACTGCCTACTTTCCTCCCACTGCACACTAGATTAGACCAAATACTAGACACCTTATAATTTTATATGTAATTTTTTTGTGTTATACATATAAAAGATAAAGACATTTTAAACAACACAGGTAGAATACCACTATATTATAACTTAAAATAAAGTTTATAGTAATTCCTTGGTATCATTAAATAGTCCATTCAGTAGTTGCATATTTTTCAATTTATATAGCTAAATTTTTTAATTGGTTTATTGGATATAGAATCTAAAAAAATAGTATTTGCTTGCTCTCTTAGGACTTTTTTTAACATATAACTTTTCCTCCTTTCTTTTTTGTACACTTGATCTATTGAAGGAATGAGGCCACACAGTGTGCAGAACTCCCCACATCCTGGAGTTTTTGAATGGCATATGTGTGCTATCACTCAACGTGTACCTTTCCCATCTGCATTCTTTTCTGCAGGTAGTTTGGTCTACAGGCTTGATCCAATTCAGGTGTATTTTGTTAAGAATAGTCATGTGCTATTTATGTTCTATGAATTGCATCAGGGGGCATGATATGGGGTTCAGTCTCCTCTGTGATGTTCAGATTGATCAGCAAGGTCAGATTTGTCAGTCAATGTCTATTCTTGTTCTCCATCAGCCTTTTACTTATTAGTTTTAGCAATAATTGGTAATAATTTCCTGTAATCATGTTTTATTATAGGTTGCTAGGAGTGCTAATTCAAGTCTATCATTCCTTCTACATTTACAAATTTTACTTGTGCATCATTGAAAATCAACATGCGTATACACTACACTGAGTTCACCAATAAAAATCCAAATCTATCCTTCACTGTAAAATTGTCCCCCTTTTCCTAATTTACCCACCCCCTTTTCCTCTGTCCATTTTCAATTGGGTTATTTGTTTTCATTGTTGAGTTTATGAGCTCTTCATATATTTTAAATATTAACCCCTTGTCTGACACAGATGTATAAATATCTTCTCCCCTTCAGTAGGATGTGTTTTCATTTTGATGCAAGTGTTTTGGCTGTTCAGAATCCTTTTAGTTTGATGTGGTCCCATTTGCTTGTATTTCCCTTGCCATTGGTGTTGTACTCCCAAATGTCTCTAAGTCTGATGATGTCAACGAACTTATTGCCGATGTTTTCTTCTATGTATTATATGGTTGTATCTTATAATCAAATATTTAATCCAGTTTGAACCAATATTTGTGTATAGGGTTACATAATACTCTAATTTTATTTTTTTGCATGTGGATTTCCAGTTTTCCCCATACTATGAAGTCAGACTCTCCTGACTTCATTATAAGTTCTTGGCACCTTTGTTGTAAATTAGTTGTCTATTTATATGTAGTTTTATTTCTGGCTCTCAATTCTGTTCCATTTATCTCTGTGTTTTTATTTATCAATATCATATTGTTTTAAATACTATCACTTAGTACTGTAGTTTGAAAGTGGGGAGCATAATATCTCCATTTTTACTCTTTTTTCTTAGGAGTATTTTTGCTATTTGGGGCTATTTGTAATTTCAGATAAATTTCATATTGTTTCCCAATTCTGTGAATACTGGGGATTTTGATAGGGACTGCATTGACCTGTATGCTTGAGTAAGATGGCCATCTTGACAATGTTATTTCTTCAAATCAATGAGCAAGGAATTCCTTTCCATTTTTTTGTGTCTTCTATTCTTGTCAGGTGCTGTTGTTTTACAACTTCATTTGTACAGCTGGAATAAAATGTACATATTTAAAGTGTACAATATGATTGGTTCTCACATATGTACATGTGCATATAAAGCTCTCACCTAATCAACAGATAATAATGAAAACAAAGAGACACCCTGCTGAATGGGAGAAAATATTTGCATATTATATGTCTGACAATAGACTGATAGACTGATATCAAAACTATAGGAAGCTCATGCAACTCAACAAAAAGAAAACAAGGAACCCAATCAAAAAAGGGGGCAGAAGAGCTAAATAGGCACTTCTCTAAAGAAATACATAAGAAAGGCCAGTAGGCACATGAAAATATGTTCACCATCACTTATTATCATCAGGGAAATGCAAATAAAAACCGCAATGAGATACCCACTTCACACCTGTGAGAATGGCTCATATTAAAAACACCAGAAACAAGTGCTGGTGAGGGTATGGAGAAAAAGGAACCCTCTTAGACTGGTAGTGAGACTGTAGACTGGCCCAGACTATTGGAAAGC